ATAGTTACCACTCTACTGTATGCTTAGATGTGAAGAGAGTCACTGTAATAGGTGTGTTAAAATTGAATGTAGTGATATATATATAATATACATATATTATATCATTGAATACGAAAAACAAATTTGAGTGAAGATGGTGTATCAACCTAGGATATTTTATTATGTATGAATATTGCGTTTGTTAACAAAGTACGTAGATTGAATTAATTTTTGCAAAAAAAAACGTTCTATTTGCACAACTATTTTACTAAACATATAATCAGTAATTTTTTTTTGGTAACAATATTAACAACTTATAATATGAGGGACTTTGTACCTTAGCTATAAAAATTGAGCAGTATGTACATTTTTATTACTAATGCATTGTAGTGTTGTACAAATTTTAATTTAAAAATAGAAAATCGTGTTTATATTATATCGTTAATATTTTTAAATACATTAACTAAAAACTTATAAGGAACGTTTTACCTATTACATTTTTAAAAACAATATTTAATCAAATACAATCTAAACTAAGGTAGTCTAACAAAGATATTTCAATTGTTTTTTATAATATAAAAAATTTGATAAATATTATTCTTCGATTGTTYTAAAAAGTACTGATAATTATATATTTATTCTAACAAAATTATCAACTAAATCCATTTTTATAACAAAATCTTTCAGCGAATTTGATGATCACTGATCAGAGAATTTATCTACTATATCTACTATATCAGAAGTTGAAGTTTTGAAAACATTTTCAAATATCTAACTAAATGTCTTATTTATTTAATTATAAGACTGAACAAAATAAAAATAAAATTGTAATATAAAGTCACAAATAATCTACATTTATTTAAATCTTCTAGGACGTTTTTAAATTTATAAATATTACTAAACTAAATACTATTTATGTATTTAATTTTAATTGTTTATGTTCAATAAATGGATCCATGATACTTATAAAACTTTATGGTAAAATCAATAAAACTTTTATAATTTATTACATGTGAGATAATTAATAAGTATTATAACTTTAATTGCAAACTTACCACAAGGTAACTCCATATCTTTAATATCTGAATCATTACGTTTTGGTTTCAGTTCTGGTACCGGTTCTGGTTTTGAATCTGGTTCCGGGTCTTCGGTAAATATGACTTTATGATAATTTTGCATACTTCCAGAGAAGTCAGCTGAAAAATGTTGGTTTAATTTAATATCTAACTGACATAATATTATAAAATTCATAAAAACTAATAAACAGTGTTACATGTTAAATTTGCAATGTATAATTAATTCTCTATATAATTTACTATAATTTTTTATTATAATATAGAATTATAAATTTAAAATTGTTTTGAACAACGTTAACACTGAATTTATATATTTTTGAAATTGCTTAACTGAATAAAAAAATATCTATAGGATATAATATACAAAATTACAAAATATATTACAAGGTAACAATAATACTTATTATTTTTTTATAAACATTCCAAACGGCTTTATTAAGTGACATTCTCATTGGTACCTATTATAAATATGTACTAGATATGTATTCTGTTTAAGTAAAGTACTATATAATATAACCTACTACTGGAGAGAGTTAATAAATATTAATGAGTTATTGCAAACAGTCAAAGCATATGTTTTAATGAAATAATTAATTATTTTTTTAATTTTTATAATATACTAACTGCATATGAGATAATCTTCGTCTTCTCCGTGTAGGCAATCCGAAAAATTATTACATTTATATTTATTTGCAATACAAACGTCCGACTGTCTGCACAAGAATGAACCTTCGCGACAACCGTTAGAACCTAAACGTGATTAAATGATATTATCATATTATAAGTTTAACATACTTAAACATCGTAAGATATAATCACTGACCATAATTTAAGTATAAACTGATAAGGGCCAGTGAAAAGAAACAGAATATAATGAAAGTACTAATAATAGCGGATCGAGTTGCTGGCATTATTATTATCGGAGATATGAACGTTTTAAAGCACTACGGAGAAGTGATAGTATAAGCTTGGACATTTATTCAAATTTTCCAAAAGTCTACAATTTGTGTTTGTTCGTCATCATCCCCCGCTGTTATAATCTGTGATGAAAGCAATGATGCAATGATTACAATATTATTTAATGGTGACTAAAATTCAGATTGAATGTAGTAGTGAGTAGACGGGGTCCGCAATTAAACCCTCTGCAAACATTTTGCATATTAATTTATTACAATGTATAACTAGCGTGTTCGGATTATGAATAAACAAATCTAAATTTATGGTCTATTCATGTCGATGGGTCATTAGTAAATTACACATTGAACAAATTTCCAATGGAAAATTAAATAAAAAAATAGTATGCTTACGAACTTAAATTTGTATGCTAGACTTTAATTATAATACTGGATGATAAGACTATTTTAGATTCTAAGCTAAGCGATGAATATATTAATTTTACAATGATATATACCTATGTATGTTCTTTTTTTTTTAGTGTGCCTGAGTATACGATAGGTAATCGAAATAATGCTTCATTTTTCAACTTCAGTATCTTTTCTGAAGGGAATAAGTGAACCTATATAGTAGATGCACTCATCTCAAAATTATCAGTAGTTCTCAAAAGTAACGGAAAAAAACGAAAAATTAAAAATAATGAAAACTGGAAATTTCCCAAAGTTGGTTTTCAGCAAAATCGATTTTGATTTTTGATTTAATCTTTTTAAAAAAATTACCGTAACTAGATGAAATTTTCACTGAATTTTAAAATACCACGGTATTTCAAAATATTTTGGCTCATGTTGAGCTATTTATAGCCTTATAGGCATATGAAATTTTTTATTTATTTTATGTCAAATTACGAAAAATTAGTTACTAAAAATAATCAAGAAATATTTAAACCTTTTTTTAAGTGGCGTACCCCATATCTAATATGTCACTCCATTTCACTCAAATAAATTTATTAAATACCTACCTATTTATTAATTACCTATAACTAATTTACTACTCGTTAGAAATTTTATTTTTAGAYATCAAAATACTCCCACAAAAATTCGTCTTTGAAATTTTATATAAACAATGCATGTTGTGATTTAAAAAAATAAAAATAAAATAATAGATAGTATAGTTTTTTTTGTACATTTTGTTTTTATTATAAATGCACATATTCCAATTACCTATTATTTTTTTTATTTTTTTAGTTGTACAGTATTATTTGATTTAATCTGTACAATAAAATCCAATTTAAATAACAGTTATAATTATTGCTACCAGCTGCATTGCTGCAACCTATATATTTTTTGTCCGTCTGTACATAAAAATTGTTCCGAGAAGTTAATCGATAAAAATAATCTCATGCACCACGCGTACACCTATTTATACTTCTATTATGAAAAAACAAAAAATACAGCAGGGTAATTCAGCTGTTTCTATCTAGATCATATACTATATATGGTCCACAGCGTATTATTTTGAAGCCGATATTAACGATCAGTCTCTGTTTTAGGTGTTCGATATGCGCATGCGCGATTTATTTCATCGAATACCTAATTATCCATAGGCCGTACCCTAGGTAAAAATATAACAATATAACGTGTGGATAAATAAGCGACGAATTACGTCATGGTGCATGAGCATATCGAACACCTATTACGGTGACTTGTCGCTAATATCGGCTTCATTCTTTTTTATTGATATAATACGCTGTCGCTGTGGCTCTATTCATAATATATGATCTAAGGTTTCTATATTCCTACATTTCTATATTTCCGTGCATTTACCATTGTGTGTATTCCACAATTCTGCAGTACTTACCAATTTATTCTTATTTTACATAATGTTTTGCGTTACACACTCAATACATATACAGAGTGTAACAAAAAGACCTGACCAAAAAAAAAAAAAAATTATACTGATTAAACGTAAGATAAAAATTGTTGAGAATTTGCTGACATGAGTATATTTCTTAAATTATTTACCATTGTGTGTATTCCACAATTCTGCAGTACTTACCAATTTATTCTTATTTTACATAATGTTTTGCGTTACACACTCAATACATATACAGAGTGTAACAAAAAGACCTGACCAAAAAAAAAAAAAAATTATACTGATTAAACGTAAGATAAAAATTGTTGATAGGTATTATATAATAAGTAAATAATTTAAGAAATATACTCATGTCAGCAAATTCTCAACAATCATATTTTCAAAAAAGTTATTACGTTCCAAATTAATTTAACTAAAAAAATCTAAAAAAGTTAACTTCTTGACTTACCTAGATAAATCCTTTACTAACAAAATTTTTCTTATAATCAAATTCACAAACAGGCTATTTTGAATTTATCAAAAAAAAAAAGTTATTGATTAAAATGTTTTATTTTCAGTACTAACAAATAAATATAAAAAAAAATTACCATACATGTAGCGCAAAGGTCACTTAATAAAAAAATAAAAACATTATTTTGATCAAAAGTTATTTCAAAAATCAGTTCTTTCTGTTACACCTTGTATATGTATATGCGCGTGGGTTGGTATGTATTGAACATTTGAACGATCACGTCCTTAGGGGCGGAACACTTTTCGGCCATTCTGAAATGACCGCTTTCGGCCAGCACACTATTCTGATGGCTGTATGACATAAGCGCCAAAGGTACAAAAATGACCTTTCATTTGCGCCAAAATCTGTAGAACATAAGCGCCAATCTAATATTGTATACCTGCTATACCCAACATATGACATAAGCGCCAAAGGTACAAAAATGACCTATCATTTGCACCAAAATTAATATTTTATATAAGTATTAAGTAGGTAGTTATTTAAAAATTTCTATATCTTATAAAAATTATATTATATTAATATTATTATGTTGATAGTAAATTATAATATAGGTATAGGTACATGCACATCAATATTTTATACATTTAATAAATTGGTTGATTTTTTATAAAAATAAAATGACGAAAGTACGAAATAGGTACTAACAATATGTTATAACACAAACTGCTAAACTGCTCACCCACTGTCTATTTGACAATCTGTCGTAATCAGATAATACATATTTTGTCGATTAAGATTAAGCGTTTGGAGTTTTTTAAATTTAATTCTGTTATTTAATTTCTGACGCTTTTGTACGATACGATTTGTTTTTCTTATCCCATTTTGGCGCTTATGAACGATACGATTTTGGCRCTTTTGTACGATACGACTTTTTTTTCTAATCTTATTTTGGCGCTTATGTCTTACACCGATTCTGGTCACCAATGAAATATTCTATTCACGGTTTATTTTTGTTAAATTACCAAAACACTACTTTTTTTAATAGACTGTATAAAATAATAAGATATATAAAAAAAAATTAATATATTAATTATACATACATTAAGATCCAATTATTTTGCATGTCTAAGTGCTTTATTGATATATATGGCAACAGACACAATGATACATATATGTACACGGATAGAAACACACTGAAATATAACTGAACAATGATATCGAACGACCAGATATCGACAAGAGTAAGATACCTATAATACAATATAATAAAGATAAAAGTAATAATAATACCTAATAATAATGACATCTAAAATTATTGTATACGAGTATGCGTCAACAATTGTCAATTATTAATTTATAATATATTGGATTAAGTTAAAAAGTATACAAAATAAAAGTTATATTATTTATTTAGACAACAAGACATTTCATTGGTGACCAAAATAGTGTGCTGGCTGAAAACGGTCATTTCAGAATGGCCGAAAACGGTGCCCTTCGTCCTTAGATCATAATTCATATTCTATGGATATCCCCCGATATATTGAAGCATATATAAAAGATGAGCTATAAGAATGCAATAAATTATTATGATTGAATGCAGTAATTTTCGTCCTGTATTTTAAATGACTTTGTTAAACCACTTTAATGAAGATTAAGATAGGGTAAATTCACAGAAAGTTTGGTAAATCACTACCTACACTGGGTATTAAACAATGAATTAAACACACATTTTGAGTCGTATTGAGTTAGTATTTCTAACGGCAACGAAGTGCATGAGTATCAGCTAGTAACATTATAAATTATTTCTACGCATTGAAATATAATCAATATTTGTATTAAAGAGTCCACACTACACGAATTATGCTATACTATACTATTAAATCGTTAACATTTGCAAATTTAATCTTCGACAATAATGGTCTTTGTAATGTTTAAATATGCAATCAAGCACGTAAAAACTCTAATAATTTACCTAGTATTTGATAATGGATTTAATTTTAATTCATAATAATAAATACTATAATATTGATTAGAACAGTGGTTTTCAAACCAGGTGCAGCGAGCATTCACTAGGTGTACCTAGGTCTTCTGAATTTTTTTAGATTCTGAACGAAGTGATGAATATATTGATTTTACAATGATGTGTGTTTTTTTGTTTTTGTGTCTGTGTACAGCATAACTAGTCGAAATAATGCTTCAATTTCCAACTTTGGGGGTGGTTTCCGATAAAAAAGTGAATATCCTTGGTGCATTTTCCAATAGTTTTCAAAAAATTCGAGAAAAACAAAAAAAAAAATGACAAAAAAACGGGAATTTTTACGCAAAACCAGTTTTCGACAAAATCGATTTTTTTATATGATTGTAATTCAAAAACCAATCACTGTAAATACTTGAAATTTTTATCAAATGTTTATGTTAGTGATATCTATATACAGTTTAATTTTTAAAAATTTTTGACTGTTTTTGACTTATTTATAGACCACTGAAATTTTCGACTTTTTTGAGAATTTTGTTTTGAAATGTCGGTAAAAAA